TCAGCAATGTGACTGACAATGCAGTAGGTGTGATCTAGAACATGGTGTGAGCTTTGCATAAAGCAAGTGGGCACTTAAATGATGGTGTTTGGTCTGTACCTGGTCACATGAGATGCTGCTGCTGTTTGTGTTACACAGCACGTTATTGTATTGCTGTGACATTGGCTGGTGTCACAACTTGCTCACGCATCATTTTGAGAGAAACTAGCACAACTACTTTATTGTCAAAAGCCAAAATCCTTATGTGAAGTTTCGGCTTAGTACCTTTCACTTGAGGTGGCAGCTGATCCCAGCCGGGCCGTGGGCTCAGTGCAGGTGGCATGGATGGGTGCTCCTTCGTCCGTGTGCTCCACTGCCAGCAGATGCCTGGGAATCTGCCTCCCGGCTGTTGATCCTTCTTTGATGAGCGTTTGGATCAAATGGGAAGCCAAGTCATCTGAACGCTTACAGTGATGTCTGGGGTTGCTCTCATTTCTTTTTCTTTGCTTCAACAGGAGGTTCTGGTCCTCACCGAGCCAAGTACGATGGCTGTTTCGGTGCTCTCTAGCCACGTGCAGAAGGAAAGGCCAGGGTGTTTCGGTGGGTGCCAGCCTGTGTCTTTACAGATGCCTGTTTGCCAGGCTCTGTTTCTAAGCACTGAAGGGGATGATGAGGGCATAGAAAGTATGTGTGCTTGTCCTCTGCCATCTGAGGGCTCCAGTACAGCTGGCAGCTTTCAAACCTCCTGCTGAGAAGTCACCTGGGAGGTATCTCCAAGCTGCTGTTCTTCTGCCAGGATCTCTTCAGCAACTCACAGCTCTGTTGAGTGGCTGGTCTGGCATGGAGACCCAGGGGAAGTTCTCTAGCCCCGGGTACATCCACCAGGTCTGTCTTCAAACTGCTGCAAAAACGTCTTTACAAAAATCTCCCTCTACATGACTGTGAGGAGTTTCTGCTCCATGATCCTTGCAGCCTGTCATGGGATGGTGGGAACTGATGTATTTGCATGTTTCCCCCACTTCCATTTCGGGGGGGAAGAGATGACCTTGGATGCACACACAGCTTGAGAGTGCTTTCTTGAAACCTCTTTTCTGATTGCCAGACCCTCCTGCTGAGACACGGGCTGCTTTTTCTCTCCAGTGCTTTGCTTTTGCACGCTCGCCACCCAGGATGCCACAAAATCACAGAACCTTGTGGTCACCCTCCTCCCAGCCTTGGCCGGGCTGCTCCCACGGAGCATGAGAGGTGGCTGAAGCAGGAGGGGTCCTGGCAATTTTAAGGTCTCGTTGGGGTTTGCTCGCATTGTCGCATGGCTGGGCACAGCACTGCCCGGCAGCATCCACCGATCATTAGTTTCCCCTCCTGCCTGAGCGTTTGGCTCTCTTCCCAAGAAGGCCCTTAGTTGTTTTTCAGGCTCAGAGCCGTCTTTTCTGATGGAATCCAGCAGGGACAATGGCCAGTAGCAAATCCTTAGGAAAGAGAATAAAAACAGGGCAAGCCTCAGTGATTCTAACCCTGATTTAGCTTCTGGGCGTCCAGCAATCTGCGGCTGGGGGATTTCCTGAGCCAAAGGTTTTACCTTCGGATTTAAGAAGCCGTGGTGTGTCTTTGTGAATATATCCAATTGTTTTGGTATCCATGGCAACTCACGACTGTGACTTGTATAGTTTAATTATGTTGGGTGGAAAAAAATACAGCCTTTTGTTACAAGTCTCTGAGCTAATGGCATCTCATGCTCTGTCGTTCTTGTATGCGTGTATGCACTGGCATAGTGATGGTCCCTATTTTATCTTCTCTTCCTTTACTAACAAATCCTAATGTTCCACTTTGCCTTTTTACTACCCTTATGAGGATTCCTGAGCAAACATCCTCTGGTCCTGGCAACTTTTCATTTATTGATTTGTTCTGTGTTCTTTTCACCTGACATGTCGATACGAGACAGAGCCTCTAACCTGCCTTCTGTAAAGCCATCTTCCAGGATGGGGACCTCCCGAGGCTCTGAGTGAATGTGGACACAAAGAATTCATACAGCTTTGCTGATAGGACCTTGTGTTCCTTTAGGTGTTATCATGGCTTTCCACTGAAATTGCCAGCGTTTAAGCCCTTTGCTATGTTCTTTGTTTCCAAACAGGAAATTAAGTGTGCTTGTGTGTGTGAGTGCACATGCTCTTTTGGCAGCAATGTGGACATGTAGGGAGAGCTTATTTTTGCCCTGTTTTTAGACATTTAGCTTAAGGTTGTATGGCAAGTTCCAGAGTGCCCACTTGGCTACTGGGAGTAGACAGCTGGTGGAGACAGAGATGTGTGTTGGGTGGATAAGCCCCACTTGGGGAGCCTGGTTGGACTGTCCAGGTTCATTGTAGATGCAGCTTCAGTACTAGTTAATAAAATAAGGAAAGTGAAGAGTCAATAGAGGAGAGACCACTTTGCGTTGGACTTGTTTAAGAGCAGTTGAGAGTGTATCTATGTAGTAGTCATGGCAGCTGAGCTCCTAAAAGCTGAATTACATTAATAGCTTTAGAGGTGGTATAGGTAGACAGGCAATCGTTGGTTCTTCACTAAGCCTCTGATCAGGTGGTGGGTCAGAGTAGGGCTGAGGTCAAGATGCCCTTGATGACATGGAAGATTGCCCAGCCCATCATGAGGCAGTGACAGGGTAACAAGTCTGCAGCACAGAGAAGGAGGACTGTTGTTGGAGGAGGACTCTCATCTTCTCTCTCTTTGTCTTTCAGAAATGTAGATGGCAGCTGCTGTCTTTGAAGGACTTGCACCCATCTGACCCTGCGCAGCACCTCCGATTGCTACCATGATCTTCTGCATGCTACTGTTGGCATCACTGCCTGAGCCATCTGGCACCGAAGTCAACCCTGGTAGGGACCTGCCAGGCTGGGAGAGGACTCCAGTCTCCCACCTTTCCTATGGTTGTTTCTCGGTCTTTCTTTGCCCTTTCATGGTGAATGCATAAGATGTAATGAGTGCGTGTAAATATAATCACTAACATAGTTCCTGAATGTCTCCTCTGGGCTGAGTTGGCCAGTCTTACTCGACAGCTGTACTGGAGTGAAACATCTCTCCTGACAGTCTCAGGAGGGCTCAGGCACATGGATAATATTCCTTTCTCTGCCCACCCAGAGGGCCTGTGCTCTCAGCAGGCCTGTTTTGAGCTCTGATTATCTCTTCATCAATTTAATTATGTGACCTGCAGAACAAAATTGCCTCTAGACTGGCTCAGAGGTACTGTGCTCACTGTGGAAAGTAAATTACCAGTTAGCAAAGCATAAGCTACAGCTCTCCAGCCAGCGAGAGAGGGTCTGGAGAGAAAGGTGTGGAAGGAAAGGTAGAAAACCCTTCCTGGTAGGAGGTGGAGATAGGGATATGAGCCTGTGAGTCCCTGTGGAGAGCATGACCTCTTATCCTACAGCGTTTGGCAAGTTCCTAATCACGATGGAGATGAGTAAGATTATGGCCTGCAACATACATTGCAAAAATCCCCGAAATGAGGTGGTTTGAGCTGGAGACAGTCTGTGAAATAAATGAGTCCAATCCTTTTCCAGCTTGGCTGAAGGTGTGATGGGGCAGCAGTGCAGCCCTGAGGGCCTTTGTTTGCTCCGCTGGATCTGGCTCTGTTTGTCGGAGCCCTTTGGCTGTGTCTGGCTCTGACCCTGCTCTGGCCAGTGGACCTCTGCAGAGGTTTGAGGTTGTGCTGCAACCAGCCAGAAGTGAGGTGAAGCCTGTGGGGGAGCTCAGCGGGTGTCCTGTGCTCCCCGTTACACTGCCATGCCCTGCACTGTACAACTCCCACATGTCCAGCTTCGAACCGGGGTTGCCATCTGGATCTGATGGCTAAAACTAGTGGAAGAGGGGGAAGACAGCAGCTAGAGGGTCAGTCACATGTGGATCTCTTGATGGACGAGAAGCTCAATATGAGCCGGCAATGTGCTCTTGCGGCCCAGAAGGCCAACCGCATCCTGGGCTGCATCAAGAGGAGCATGGCCAGCAGGTCGAGAGAGGTGATTCTCCCCCTCTACTCTGCCCTTGTGAGACCTCACCTGGAGTACTGTGTCCAGTTCTGGAGTCCCCAACATAAGAAGGACATGGACCAGTTGGAGAGGGTCCAGAGGAGGGCCACGAAGATAAGAGGGCTGGAGCACCTTTCCTATGAGGACAGGCTGAAAGAGTTGGGGCTGTTCAGCCTGGAGAAGAGGAGGCTCCGGGGTGACCTTATAGCGGTCTTCCAGTACCTCAAGGGGGCCTACAAGAAAGATGGGGAGAGGCTGTTCAGGAGGGCCTGTTGTGGTAGGACAAGGGGTAATGGTTTTAAAATAGAGGGAGGTAGATTCAGATTGGATATTAGGAAAAAATTTTTTACCATGAGAGTTGTAGAACACTGGAACAGGTTGCCCAGAGAGGTGGTGGATGCTCCATCCCTGGAGACGTTCAAGGCCAGGTTGGACGAGGCCCTGAGCAACCTGATCTAGTTGGAGATATCCCTGTTCCTTGCAGGGGGGTTGGACTAGATGACCTTTGAAGGTCCCTTCCAGCCCTAACCATTCTATGATTCTATGAGTGGTAAGTACAGAAGCTAGCACACCTGCAGGGATGAGCACAGAGCTGTGGTCCCACCTTCCTGCAGTAATCTTTTCCAGCAAGAAATGAGCATGTAGCTTTGCTCACACTTCTCAGTTCTGCCTGTGACTTCCTCAAGCAGCTTTGTGTTCTCAGCTCCCACAGCTGCTCAGCTGCCTCTCTGTCCTGAGGGACTGTGTCCTGTTTTTCCCAGCCAGACTCCAGCACACCCATAGCCCAGCTGAAGCTCCTCGGTTGTGATGCTGGCAGGTGCCATTGATTATCTTGACCTCCTGATCTGCTCCAGGAGTGGTCCAGAGCACCTCCTGCATTGCCTTCTAAACCAAAGGGCCTGCTTTGTGGGTGATTGCAGAGCTGTGTAGGGAGGATCCTGTGTGGGAAGGATCCTGTGCAGACTTTTTGCCCAGCACTGATTGTTAGACCTCACTAATAGAGGTGACATTTTTCTGATCCTCCATGTATCCTGTCTGCATGGCAGGTGAGTGTGTCCCTGAGTGCATAGAAAAGGGTCAGGGATGTGTGAGCAGGAGTCCTGGTGGCACCTGAACAGAACCCAAGGATGGCTTTGCTTGACAGGATGTGCATTTTGGTGAAAGCCTCGCGCTGCCTGTTTTGGTGAGAGCCACAGGCACCTGCACAGTGTGTCCCTCGATGCCAGGGCCACTCTGGCTTCCATCTGCCAGCCCTGTGTTTGGGAACTAAGGAGTTGTTTTCAGGATTGCAGTAAGTCTCAGTCCCCTCGAGTCCTTCCCAGCTAGCTGACTCTGTCTGGCATTGCTGTAGGGTGTGCACTTGACCTTTAAGGTGTGAGCAGACAGGACTCCCACTGCAGGAACACAGAAACACTTTCTGCTTTCAGAGGATGACTCAACCCTTTTGGAAAATCTTCGGATACTTACCCATAGTTCAGCAATGTACCAGCTTTCCAGCTGTAAATCAGGTCGTTCTGGTCTGTGGTGGGAGAGGTAAGAATGAAGACAGTGCTTTAGTTTACTAAACTTACTGTTCAATATCAGAGCAGGGTTAGAGCCCTCAGTTGGCTTTCAGCAGCCACGATCGTCATGCCTGATCCCAGCTAGACACCAGCTGCCTTCCAGGGAACTCTGTAAACAGACTCTTAAGAAACCTTAGACATAGGAATGGATGTTCTGGGTGAGACCAGGGGCCATGCAGCTTGGTGTCCTGACTCCAGCAGGGTCCCATCCGTGCCGGTTCTGGAAGAGTGTGTGGATGGGTAAGGACACAGCAGAGCTTTGCCCCAGGTGTGCTCTTGGCTCGCTGCAGTCTGCTGCTTAGGAGCTTTCTGAGCGTGTTTGCCTGCGGTAGCTGTGAGTTTAGCTGATTTTTGAACCCGTGGGAACCTTTGACAGTTGAAGTGTTTAATAGATTAAGGATGCACAGGTTGTTTTTTGGACTCTGCCACCTGATCTTTTGATGCCTCCTGATTCTGATATTTTGAGAGACAGTGAGTAATTGTTCAGAATATAAATGATCTTTGTCATACTTCAATTCAATGATCTTTTTTGTAATGATGAAGCTGCTAATTCCTTTTGCATCATCTGTGTTGCCTTCTCTACCTTTTGATGGGAGAAGGAAAACGTAAGAGCTCTATTCCCTATCCAGCTGGCATCTGACCATGAATACAGACTGTGGTGTAATGATGTTTTCATGTTTTTTATGTACGTATTCCCATAATTTGCTTTTTTCTATGTTAAATAATCTGGTATGATCAACAAACATTGTCACCTCATCACCCATCTCCTTTACAAGATTATTTAGGAATACCTAGAACATCGCACTTTGTTGATCCTGTGCCTGGAAACAGCTGCAGCCAAGTTGCAAACATTTCCACGTTGAAATCTGTCAGGTAGTTATTCAGCCTGTGGTTATCTTGTATGGTGGTAGCAACAAGGTGGGTTTCATGCCCCTGTCTTGTAGCTTCTGAACCTGAGGAACATTTCTATCCAGGTTTGGTACGAGGGTAGCAGACCTGAGATACAGGAGTGAGGAGGACACCTGGGGCAGTGCCTGTGCAGAGGGAAGGGCAGGCAGAGCTGCTGATACGGCAGCAGGCAGCGAGGATGCCAATGCCAACCCACCTGCGTGTGCCACTCAGTGACTGCAGCATGTGCTGGTGCTTGTCTGTGTTGCTGCAGGCAGGGCAGGAGCTGGGGCTGCTTTGAGCCCAGAGGACAAAGACCAAAAATCTATAGGAAAGTTCATTTCCTTTTTTTTCCTGGGGCTTGCCATTGACAATGTTTGGTCTTTTAATTGTTTCATGATTTGATCCCAGATAACTTTATTTTTAATCTGCTGGTGGTGTCAGTCTGACAAATATCTTGCTTTCCTGTTTTGAATACTGAGCCTTAATGAATACATTAAGACTTTGAGTTTTCTGAAACATCTCTAATATTCCAAGACATGTTTAAAAACTTGTGTCAGGGGAGAGGACTTGGCCAGCTTGGATTTGTAAGCAACATCTGCACTGTCTTTGGTATATTGAGCTTGTAGAGCTCCATGGCTTGAGCCAGTTGTGTCTCTGCTCCCTGGAGGCACCAAGTCTGAGAGTCTTCTCAGGCCAGGGGAGAAATATTTGCTTCACTTGAGGCTAGAGGCAGGAACAGATGTTTCCATAAAGTAGCCTAGTCATCTCTGTAACAGAAACTGTTTAACTTCTCACTTTTTACTGGACTGGTGAAATAATAATTGCTATTATTTGAATGCAAGTCAAGCATTCAGTTTATTACAGAAGAAGAAAAATCTTTAACAAGTTCTTCGTTTTTATATTTCATCATTATCGATAAATAATTTTTCACTGTAAAATAGGTCCATGCAACCATGAACACTAGTATGATTTTGGCTTTCATGTTCTTAAAATGTTTCGTGAAGTTTTTTGCCTTGCCAGGACTCTGCTGAATGATATTATCTGAGTGGTGTGTGTCATTACTTATTTCAGTTTATGGTAATTATTTCATCCTCTTTATTTGCATTCTTTATTTTATCATTACCACGTTTATTCTCTAGGCATTGATAGCTTTTTAATTAAACTTGTCTGGTGATTTGGAGAGAATTGGTACTGATTTGTAACTTGCTTTTGTTCCCTTTTTCAGCTATATGCCGTTACCCTTTGGGTATGCACGAAGGGACAATACGGGATGAAGACATCACTGCTTCCAGCCAGTGGTATGATTCCACAGGACCCCAGTATGCACGGTAGGTTAACATCTGGGAAAAAAAAAAAATCCTTTTTTCTTCTAGATATCTAGTATGTGATTGAGGAAGAAGTTCTGTCACCCTTAAAGCAACCTTTAGTTTGCTTAGCTTGTCCACTGCTTCCATATTAAGTCTAATGAGTGCGTAATGAAAGACCAAGAGGCAGTGGTCATGGTCACAAGCTGTAATACAGGAAATTCTGAATCAATATTAAAAAAAAATCCTTCTCCATGAGAATGAAGCAGTGGAGCTCTCAGACAGGTCCCCAGAGACATGGTGATGTCTCAGCGTTTGGAGGTTTTTCAGGATGTGGCTGTGTAAGTCCTTGAGCAATACACTACAGCTTTGAAGTTGGCCCTGCTGCGAGCCGGAGATTGGACTAGAGCCTTCCAGAAGTTGCTTCCAACTCTGGTCTTCCTATAGTTCTGTGAATAAATCTCTGATGGATTTATGACTTACAGGTCAGCTAGGGACAGTGCCCCTGGGATTCTTGTAGAATGCTTTAAACTAAATCGTAGGAAATCATTTACAAGGATGAAATTTTCAGCAGCATCATATTGAGGAAATGGGTTGTGTCCACTTTGACTCAAAAACCTGGAAACTGCGGAGTTAAGGAATTGTTAAAAAGCAGCTGGAGGGTTTTCTTCCAATGTCATGCTGTACTACAGTCTTTCTCATAAGCTTGGCTTTTCATTTCTGTCACTTACTTTAAAGCTACTAACTGAGGATGTGCAAAATACTTACATTTGTAAGTTTTCTTAGCGTTGTTTATAACGATGGTATGAAACATTCCTACAGTTCTGCTGCAAATCAGATAGGAATTTCAGGTTTAGATTGTTCTGGTGAATTTGGGCAGTCCAAAATCATAAAATTCTCCTAGTGCTTAATTATTTTTTTTTTCTTAGTCTGTGGTAGAGCAAAGATGCGAAGTGTCGTGTGTTTGTAATGGAGTTTGAACAAGCCTGTGAGTCTGAGAGCTGGGAGACTTGCTTTGTTCTCTGAGGTATGGCTTGTCTCCAGTTCTGCAAATACTTCAGGCATCACTTACCACCTGTTACCGTCATCTCTTTGCCAGGGCAGCTGGATGTCCACAGGGTGAAGACATAAAGGCACCTTGTAGCTGACTTCATGTTCTTAGAGGTCATGGTTGTCCTGTGCAGATGTCTGTCCCTGTCATTTCAGTCACCCTTCCTGCCTTTCTTACAGCTTCTTTTACTTGCCACTTCACTGTAAGAAAGTCTTGGACAAACAGCTGACCAGCCGGAGACAAAAATGTTCTCTAGCCTGTGCCTTGACCCTCGGTGTCTCCTTCTGGGTGCTGCCTTCCTTGGTACACGGGGGTTGGCACTCACCGATCCCATCAGTTAGGGATGGGATAACTGTTGGAAAGATGAGGGCGCTTCAAGGGCTTGCTGTTTGCTAAGAAATCCCTGTTGCTAAAAAGCCCACATGGTCTTTGTGTGGCTGGATATATTTTTTGTGTTTAAAACTCACCACCTTGCAGCTTGCACAGCTGAGCTAAGGGAAGCCTAGGTAAGGCCATGTCTCCTTCAGTGGCTCCACCTGCTGATGGCTGCAGTGCTCTGCTTGGCATGTGATCTCCAAGGATAAAGAAGCCTTAGTCTTTGCAGCCGGTGCCACAATGTTCAACTTTGAAGCAGAGACCTTCACATCATACACCTAGCAGTGTCCTGCACAAGCAGCTCTGCTAATGAAGGAAAGGTGGAAGATATTTTGGGATGAGCCAGAATAATTTGTAGATGGGCAGAGCTTTTCTTTCCAAAATGTATTTTTCAGATACATTTTTGTACTTGTTAGAGCTGTAGGAGGTGGTCAAGTAGAGGTTCAGGCCTTACTGTATGAGCTTTAGGAGAAGTGAGTATGTGCTTTACCAGCAAGGTGCTAAAAATGATGCAGTATGCCATTACCTACCGAGTAGCATAGTTGTTTCCAGTCAACATGAAAGTATGTGTTTGGGAAAGAAATTACTTCTAACAGTTAATGAAAGCTATCCAAAACCGTGGGAGTTGTTCTTAACAGGGAAAAACTGGCTACAGGGTGCTGATAAGTCTCAATCAACCATCACCCTAAGGGGAGAGGTATTTGGTAGCCAGCTGTCGGGTTTGAATTGCTGATTTGGTTTCTTCGTCCCAGTTCTCAAAGTTTCAAGGTGTTTCCTCAGTTACTGGGAAGGCGAGATCCTTGGACGTGACCTTTTTTTAATGTGTGTGGTTTTCCCCTCAGGTTACAAAGGGAAGAGGGGGATGGAGCCTGGTGCCCGGCTGGCCTGTTGCAACCAAAAGACGTACAGTTCCTTCAAATTGACCTGCACAAGCTCTTTTTCATCACCTTGATTGGGACTCAGGGACGGCATGCCCGTGCCACCGGCAAAGAATTTGCCCGTGCTTACCGAATCGACTACAGCCGCAATGGAGAGCGCTGGATCTCCTGGAAAGATCGTCAGGGCAGGAAGGTGAGTGTAATAGGAACTGAATCATGAAGCATGCAGAAGTCAAGTCATAGAGAACTAGACTGTAGAAGGCATGTCCTCTATGTACTGCCTAGTGCATTGTCCTTTATCCTGACTCTTCTCTGGCAGGCATTCAGCGTCCTGTGTGTGCTGTGGTGTTGGACTGTTATTCCCTGACCTGATCCCCCAAATCCAAGCCATTGCCATGACTGAAAACCGACTCTTCACTACCTTTCTGTCCATATACAGAACATAGAATGATAGAATGGTTAGGGTTGGAAGGGACCTCAAAGATCATCTAGTTCCGTCATGTGAATGTCCCTCTACCAGCCAGACATTTGCTTCTAAATTGGAAGCTGCAAAGCAGATGGCTGCTTTGTGATTAACAAAAAAGGGAGGGAGTGGCAGGGAATGGAGATGAGTTTCTGGATGTCTGATAGTGGTGTTTAATGTAGGGAGCAATGAGAAGAGAGGAGTTTAGAGGGTAGGAAAACGTGCTGAGCAGACACACTCCAAGAGGCTTCCCCACTCACTACAGTTGTCTCCTGCTTTCTCCAGATTGGAGCGCGCAGCTCAGCGCTAGCTGTGCTCTGGTCGTGTTGATAAGCCTTTATTGAGCTCCCCCTGGGAAGGAACCCCCTCCTCTCATGTGCAGCTCAGCAGAGCTGATCCCCCTGCCTCAGGCTGCCTTGTGGAGTCTGAAGACCTAAGCCAGACTAGAAGAGGTACTGGGGGTGGTGATTTCTAGCACTGGGGTGCTTTGGAAGTCACAGTGTTCAGTAACAGCTTCTAGCTTGTTAGTGAATTGTTGGCTCGCTCCGGCCTTTGATCAGCTGTTCGGCCGTTACCGTTGTCTTTCCCACCCCTCACGTTTTGGTGTGTGCTAGAAATGCCAGGTTTGCAGGATGAGGGGGAAGTTTAAGCTCCATGGGGGCTAACGATTCTTCATCAGTACTTTCTTAGGTGAAGTCTGTCCACATTTCAAGTTATGTCAGAATTCAACTGGTCACGCTGTCCACAAGCAGCTAAATACTTCTTGTCCCCCATGTCAGTCTGTGCAGAGCAGTGTTCTCAGGCACTCGTGACTGTGTTAGCATCAGGTGTTACGATTTAGGATGGGTTAATTTTTGCAAGATCTCCCTCTTGGGCCATAATAAGGTAATGAGCATGTGTTCAGCTATGTATGATGCTGTAATTTGAGCCAAACTCTATTCTGCGTACGTGGAAGTTGACATATATTCTGTCAGTGTGTGTACTTGTTCCTCATTACGTGAGACCAGAAAGTTTTCCCTCCTGGTATCCCTGGAGAAGATGCTTCTGCTCCTCTGTTCCTGCTGTTCTGGACATGACATACACATTGGGGTGCAATTCCTGCCATTTCAGCTCCTCTGAAAAATGGCTTTCCATAAAACACATTTTACAAAATGCGTCACCAGTAAGGGGGTATATTCCATTAGTGAATTTGTATTTGACCAGACAGCAGTGCTTCTGAAATAATTTGGTAAAGGCATCCTGTAAAATCATTTGAGCCCTAGAAAGAAGTGCAGATGGAGGTTCAAGACCCTAATCTACTTATTCGTATGCATTAGGAAGGCCTCTTTGAGTCCTGCAGTTGATAGATGCTCAGTTACTGATATTTCGGAGTATGACTTTGTGAGCCCATCTTGGCATGTGTCTGTCCAAGGAGATCACACAAATCATTTCAATCGAAAAAAAAAACCCAAAACCAGAACAAACCCCTTCACTGTGCTGCCAAGTTTCAGATCTCACAAGATGTTGAGTCGTCAGATACGTGGCACATGCTGCTCCTCACTAGGAAAGTCACCTTCAGCTTTAACTTGCTTGGTAAAGGCAAATGGTGAAGTTTCAGCCCTCTTGTCTCTGACACCAGTTAAGGACAGTGCTCTCCACTGGCACTAACGTTGCATGGTGCAGCGCTGTTGAGTCCTGGTGCCTCGTCAGCTTCTGCTATCAACCACCTACAGTCGTTTGCCAGCAGCACCACTTCATTCTCGATGCTGGGAATGTTGTCATCAGTAGTAGCAGGGACTGGAAGCTGGTGGTGAGCTTGTTCTACACACAGCTGATTCACTTTGGGTTTTTTAGCCCTGAGAAACTGTGCTCAGTAGCAGAAACCCCACGTTGTGGAGGTGCTACGCAGAGTGCATCTTCTCTTTTGCTTCTGTCAGAAGATGTCTGTACAGGACAGGCAGAAATGTCAGCTCTTCCAGTACAGAGCTGGTGCCAAGGCACCTGTTTCTGAGGGGGATGGCTGGAGCTTTCTTCCACTGTGTTCATCTAAGACTTTTTGGCTTGGCACACCTGCCACCTCAGATCTCTGACAAGCGCAGTCAACTCCAGAGGATCTGTCCAACTTCTGTGATGAAGACATGGGATATTCTGCTACATTCTGTCTCATCTTGGGTTTTGTGTCCTATCAGCAAGGTCTTGTGGAGTCAGCCTAGGTGGCTTCCAGGTCTCCTGTCTTTAGGCCATCTGACAACTGAAAGGGTTAGTCACTATCTAACTTGGTTAGACAACTCACTTGATTCCTGAAGAGAAAGATTACTTATGTGTCCCTACTTCACTGGAAGAAGCCATGAGTATTTTTTCTAGGAAGAGAGATATTAAGAGGCTGCAGATTAAAAGCCTGTTGAGTTGCTGAAGAGGACGGGGAAGTGAGCTTATTTTTTTGGCTTTCCTTCTGTTTTCTTTGGTCAGCTCCTGAGACTGTGCTGTTGTAGAGCTGTCCAACCTGGTGCAGGAAATTTTCACAGCTATCCTGGTGCAATCCAGTAGATCACCAGATGTGACTGGCTCTTCTTCAGGGAGATGCAGTCTTTGGAGTGACTTCCTGTTGTGTAAGGTCTTTCACTTCTCGATGGACTCTCCATCCACATTCACTCTCTGGAGATCTTCCCTTCTGCCATGAAGAGGAAGCCACCTTTCTGCTCTCTTGTTGATCTCCTTTGTCTTTTAAATTGCTTATACGTTAGCAATTGCAATCCACGTGGTCTTTTGAGTAACCTCAACCTCTGATTCATCCTTCCCACCAATAGCATCTTTGAACAGGAGCCCTGACACTGATAATTCAGACTTTTTCTATCAAAAATGTTCTTTATTCTGTTTCCATCCTTTCAAAAAACACTCTTGGGCATTTTGTGCCCGCTGCTGGGGGATTGACAGCTTCAGCTGTTTCCACAAACTAGCTGTCAAAATAAATAGTGGACTGTTCCCAGAACAGTGGTGAAACTGAGGGGAAGGAG